TATATATATATATACACACACACACACATATGTGTGTTGCTTTGCTCAGGTCGAGGGCATTATCCTCCACAAGAATCCTCTTGCTTTAGATACCTGTCTTAGGTTCCAGGCGGGGTTCTTAGGTCACTGCACTTGTGAACAACTGGCTATAAATTTGGGGGTTCCTTCTGTCCCCTCAGGCTCAATAGTTTGCTATTGAGAACTGGAAAAAGTGCTAGACTTATGATAATAGTTTTATTACAAAGATATAAATTAGGGCAATCAAATGAAGAGACCCATAGGGCAATATTTGGGAGGGTCTCAAATATAAGGCTCTTCAGTTCGTGTCTTCCTCCTGATATTGATGTATATCACCCACCTGAGAAGCTCACCTGAGCAGTTTTTATTTGGGCTTCATTATTTACACATGGTTGACTGAATTAATTGTCCATGTGATTAAACTCAGTACCCATTCTGCTTTCTCTTCCTGGCAATCAGGAGGCCAGGCTGGTATCACATGACTCTAAGCCCCAGTCTTAAAAATAATGTGATTGATCTTTCCAGCATGGCTAGTTCCCATCCTCAAATTACCTAGAGGCCCACTAGCAGTTGTTGGTTAGCATAAAGGCAGTTTTGGTGTAAGGATCCACTATAAAGAACACAGATACACCTGTCACTCAGGTTATTCTAAGGCTTTTAGAGGCTCCCTCCCAGGAACTAGGGACAAAGACCAGCCAAATTTTGCATGTATAAGAGTCCTTATCAAAATACACAGTTGCCTAAATACTTCTCATTTTACTTTCCTTTAAGAAATAACAGCTCATTCAGAGGGAAAGAGATTTGCCTTGGAATGGTGGTGGTGATGGTGGTGGTGGTGGGGGGGGGCTAGGTTTAAATCTTCCATCTGCCTCTTGTTTAATATATTATCTTAAGAGAAAAGATTCTTAAACTTTCTCTTTTCTTCTATAAAAATATTTAATTAGGGGCTGGGGTTGTGGCTCAGTGGTCGAGTGCTCACCTAGCACTAAGAACCCTTAAACTCTGACTTTTTATGAGTCAGGAGTAGTTGATTACATTTTTTTAAATGCAAATATTTCACAATACTGAATTTTTAAAAAATACCTTTATTTATTTATTTATTTGTGTGTGTGTGTGTGTGTGTGTGTGTGGCTGAGGATCGAACCCAGGGCCTTCATGTGCTAGGTGAGCACTCTACTGCTGAGTTACAACCCCAGCCCTATTACATATTTGATTGTACCTGAAAGCTATAAAGCCAGTTTCATGAAAATTCCCTGTCAATTTTAAGTTAGAAGAATTAAAAAAACAAAACAAAACAAAAAAAAAAACTTTGGCTTTCAATAGGAATGAATATGAGGGACTCTAGATTAAATAAGAACTAAATTATTTTTTTTAAACATTTTCTTTTAGTTGTAGATGGACACAATACTTTTATTTTATTTATTTATATGTGGTGCTGAGGATCAAACCCAATGCCCCACGTGTGCTAGGCAAGTGCTTGACCACTGAGCTACCATCCCAGCCCACACTAAATTATTTTTAAAAAGTATTTCTTACTGGGTAACAAATGGTGGTCTGATTCATGGTTACTCTGGTGGACATATGATTAGCATGTTTCAAGATTTATTTTTAGAAAGAGGTCTCAGCCAAATTTGCCAAATTTTATTCTATTGTGTGCATGTGCTAATATGTAATAACAAATCCACCATTATATACTATTATAATGCACCGATAAAAATGGGGAAAAATGGAAAATGAGTCTCACTATATTGCATATGCTGATCTTGAGCTTGTGGATTCAAGAGGTCCTTCCCCCTCAGACACCTGAGTAACTGCTACTACAAGTGTTCACCACCATGCTTGGATAGGATTGATTTGTTTATACATTTTGTAATTTTAAAAAATAACCTTTTTCTTTGTATATCTAGGGATTTTGGCCATTGGTTTAATTAATGAAGCCCTGGATGAAGGTGATGCCCAAAAAACTCTGCAGACCCTGCAAATTCCTGCAGCTAAACTTGAAGGAGTTCTTGCAGAAGTAGCTCAGCATTACCAAGATACACTGATTAGAGCAAAGAGAGAAAAGGCCCAGGTGAGCAGTATTGGATTTATTCTTTTTGTTTAGAGCAATTCATCCTTTGTAAAGATGGGATGTCTCTTTGATGTATTTATTGACAATTTTCTGGTCCCCCATAGATTAAGAGCACTGGAGAGAGTGAGCTATGAGAATTAGAGACTCCACTTTCCTGAAGTTCATGCTATTTCACATATTTGGGGTTTTGTTTTTGTTGTTAGTTGTAGACATTTCTCTTAGGGTAAATTCTTTATTGAAATATAAGATCCAGGACTGGGGATGTGGCTCAAGCGGTAGTGCGCTCGCCTGGCATGCGTGCGGCCCAGGTTCAATCCTCAGCACCACATACAAACAAAGATGTTGTGTCCGCAGAAAACTAAAAAATAAACATTAAAAAAAAAGAAATATAAGATCCAGAAAAATGCACAAACTATATAAGTATTCAAGTTACATAAATTTTTAAAACTTAACATGCCTGTGTAATTGGTATACAGAGTATAGGAAACATTACCAGCACCCCTCAAATCTCCTTAATGTCCTCTGCTGCCCTGTCCATTCTGCCATTTGGTGGTAACCACTATCCTGATTTTTAACACCATAGCTCATTTTTGCCCATTTTTAAACTATATTTAAATTGAACCATACACTATGTATTCTTTTGGTATTGAGCTTCTGTTGCCCAACATGTTAGTGATGTTCATCTGTGTGGTCACATGTAATAATAGTTTATTCATTCTCATTGTTTTACACTATCCTATTGTACAATGATGTATTCTATTATTGGTGAAATTTTGTTTGTTTGGTTTTTTTCTCCCATTACTGGGGATTGAACCTATGGATGCTCTACCACTGAGCTCTCTCTCCAGCCATTTTATTTAATTATTTTATGATTTTATTTTTTGATACTAGAAAAGGAACCCAGGGGTGCTTTACCATTGACTGCATCCTTAATCCTTTTTATTTTGAAACAGAGTCTTGCTTAATTGTCCAGGCTGGCCTTGAACTTGTGATCCTCCTCTGCCTCAGCCTTCTGAATTGCTGGGATTACAGGCATGTGTGAACATGCCTGACACTTTTTTTAGACAGGGTGTCCCTAAGTTGTGGAGGCTGGCCTCAAACTTTCATCATCCTAAAAAGGAACCAAATCATGCTATATATGTTCCTTTGTGACTGGCTGCTCTCCCCCGCCACCTGTAATGGGAATTGAACTCAGGGCTACTCTTTTCAATCAGGCCCTTTTTTCAATTATGAAACAGGGTCTTACTAAGTTGCCCAGGCTGGCCTTGAACTTGCCATCCTCTTTCCTCAATCTCCCAAAAAGCTAGGTTTACAGGCATGCACTACTGTGTCTTGTGTGACTAGCTTCTTAGATGTAGCTTGATTTATTCAACCGTAATATGTATCAGTACTTCATTTTTTTTATTACTGAATAATATTCTGTTGCAGACATTTTATTTTTTTCATTGATAAGTCAATGGCTGTATAGGTTATTTCTACTTTATTTCTATTAGGAATAATGCTGCTATAAAAGTGCTTTTAAAATTAATTGTATAAACCCATCTTTTAAAAAGTTTATTGGTTGTGGTTCCTAGCTAGTTTGTTGGGGAAACTGAAAATAATTTATACTTCTTTTTATGCTGTTGTTGTCTAGGAAGTTGCCTTGTATGTAGTAGGCCTCATGTATTAGTTGCATGATTAAAACATAATTACATCTATTTTTCTAATTGTGATCTTTTAAGTTCTTTCTAAGTAATAACAGCTAAATAGGAAGAACCATGGCTTCCTTTTCTGTCTTAGAAAATCCCTCAAGTGATATTCTTAGAGGGACTTGAAAAGCTAAAAGGAAATTTTAATTCAAGGAGTCGGATTCTTTCTGGGAAGTCAGAGATTAAAAAAAAAAAAAATAGCTGAAGGCTCTAGTGTATGGGAGGAGTTGCTTATACACTGACACCATGCAGGCACTATAAATTTGGATTGGAGTGAAAGAGTTGTGGGTAATATTATAGTGTTAACTGATGATCTCCTTTGATTCCCTTGCTATGAGAGTAGTTGACAATTTACATGTCCTAAACACGTGAGTGTAGTGGTTGTAGGTTTTCTTTAAGAGGCACATTATTATGCAGAATGTCACCTGATCCCATGCAGAGCATTGAATCAACTCCTATTTCACAGGCAAGAAATGGAGACTAAGGGATCATCTGATTTCATGTATTTGAGTAAGAAGGAGTTGGCTTTGGAGAAGCTAGAATCTGAGGTCTCAGTCTTTCATTTATTCATTGAACTTGCCAATCATCAGAAAAGTAATTTAAAAATACATATTTCTAAATTTTAATTCTACTGATTTAGAATATCAGCTGTGGGGCCTGGCTGCAATGATTCTGTATAGTTTGGAGGTAATAGTGTTTGCTTTCAGGAATGTCCAAAGGAGCCTTATATCGGACTGTCAGAAGAGTGGAATTTGGGAGAATATACTAGGTTGAGCTCCATATCTAAAGAGGAAAGTAGATAGTACAGAATGTGCATAGTCCTCACTCATGTTGTAAGGCTGTTTGCTCTTTTTTTAATGGTACTGAGGGTTGAACCCAGGGGTTCTCTACCACCAAACTATGTCCTCAGCCCTTTTTATTTTTTATTTTTGGGTCTCCTTAAGTTGTCAAGACTGGCTTCAAACTTAACAATCTTCTTGCCTCAGCCCCTCAAAGTAGCCTGGGATTACAGGTCTGCTTCACTTTGCCTGGCTTTGTTTACTCCTTTTGTTTGCATCATGGGAGTTAAACTTTAAGAGGATGTGAGTGGAGTTTGAAGCATTTCCTTTTGCTGTGGAATAACTTTTCAGAGTTCATCAAAGTGGAGGAAGGGTAGAGTTGAAGAAAAATTTGCTTAACTTTGTCAGGTCCCAGCTTCATCAACTGCACTGTAGGTGGAATTGTCTTTTTGAAGCTTCAGGATTTTTTTTTTAATATTTATTTTTTAGTTATAGGTGGACACAAAATCTTTATTATTATTATTTTTTTTATGTGGTGCTGAGGATCGAACCCAGGGCCTCATGCATGCTAGGCGAGCACTCTACCTCTGAGCCACAACTCTAGCCCTGAAGCTTCAGTTTTTCTTCCAAGTTTCTATGAGTCATTTTGGGAATGGTTTTTATTTATTTATTTATTTTTTAATTTTTTATTGTTGGTTGTTCAAAACATTACATAGTTCTTGACATATCATATTTCACACTTTGATTCAAGTGGGTTATGAACTCCCATTTTTACCCCATATACAGATTGCAGAATCACATCAGTTACACATCCATTGATTTACATATTGCCATACTAGTGTCTGTTGTGTTCTGCTGCCTTTCCTATCCTCTACTATCCCCCCTCCCCTCCCCTCCCCTCCCCTCTTCTCTCTCTACCCCCTCTACTGTCATTCATTTCTCCCCCTTGTATTATTTTTCCCTTTCCCCTCACTTCCTCTTGTATGTACTTTTGTATAACCCTGAGGGTCTCCTTCCATTTCCATGCAATTTCCCTTCTCTCTCCCTTTCCCTCCCACCTCTCATCCCTGTTTAATGTTAATCTTCTTCTCCTGCTCTTCGTCCCTACTCTGTTCTTAGTTACTCTCCTTATATCAAAGAAGACATTTGGCATTTGTTTTTTAGGGATTGGCTAGCTTCACTTAGCATAATCTGCTCTAGTGCCATCCATTTCCCTGCAAATTCTAATAAATATCACTTCATTCCAAATTTTGTAAGCAAAATACCTTCATTTGTTTTCTTGTAGTATCTTTGTGTATACTCTTGGTATTGAGTAATACTGGTCTTATAGAGTGATTTGGAAATCATCCTATAAGGAATTATTTCCTTATAGAAAGAGTTTGGAAGTATTTCTAAAGGTTTGGTTAATTGTTCTTTAAACATTTGATAGAATTCACCAGGAAAGCCATATGACCCTGGGGTTGTAGGGGTTTTTTTTGGTGGTGATGGGTGGGGTTTGATTATGAATTCTGCTTCTATGCTTGACATCAGTCAATTTACATTATCTGGAAGTATTCTTTCTGCCCCTTTTTCTTCTTTTCATCATGCGCACCTCAGCATAATGGTGGCCAGATCTCAGACTTTGTCCATTTTTCTTTATTATTTTTCTTGCTGATTCTCAGATCATCTCGATTCACCTATTTCAAGTTTTCTTCTTCTTCTTCTTCTTCTTCTTCTTCTTCTTCTTCTTCTTATTTGTATATGAACACAATACCTTTGTTTTATTTGTTTATTTTTTTTAATGTGGTGTGAGGATTGAATCCAGTGTCTCACACATGCCAGGCAAGCGTGCTACCACTGAGCTACAACCCCAGTCCAAGTTTGCTAATTTTTTCTTTCACTTGATCAAATCTATTTTGAACCTCTCTAGTGAATTTTTCTTTCAGCTATTGTACTTTTCAATTCCAGAATTTCAGTTTTAGTGTAGTTTGATTTCTCTTGGTGAGACATACTTTTCTTTAATTCTCTAGACATGATTTCCTTTAGTTCTCTAACATACTTAAAATAGCTGAATTAAGCCTTTGTAAGTCTAATTTTGGGCTTCCTTAAGGATGCTTTCCCTTTGTTTATGTTTTTGGAAACTAGACAATTTATTAATCAAATGTGGCAACCCTGGAAATCAAATTTCACTCCTTCTTGAGGGTTTGTTCAGTGACTTTTCTGAATTCTGTAAGGCATATTCTTATCATGGGTCCCCTGATGTCAGCTGGGTTAGCTAGTGGTGAACTAATGTTAAATCATTTCCTTCAATCCCAAAGCCAATAAGGCTCCCAGCTGTTGCAGAGGGGCTCTGTGCACATGTTGGAGCACAACTTCAACACTTAAACCAGTTTGTAATTCTGTCTTAACCTTCACTTCATATTGCCCAGATGCTCAAGGTCCGCCCAAGGTGAGACTTGTAGCTTTATCATATGTTCCCTGAGTATGTGCAAATCTCACAAATTCACTATGACCTTCTAGATTCCCATCCCAGGAATATGTCACATTTTTAAAGTTCTCCCTGGATATATTATCAAGCTTTTCCTTCTAAGCTTTTTGGTTAGTCTATGTTTGCCCAAACTCTTATCCATTGCTGCAGGTCTCCATGATGTTGAATTTACCTCTTACTGCCCCAGGAGGAAAGTCTGCACAGTTAGTTAGGTCAAATAAGGACAGACAGGCAAGTGTGATCCTCCAGGGAACCACCAAACAGGCCAATTAATGACAGTTCTCTGGGGGGAGCTTTGAAGTCAGGGTGGGGACAGGTGGGAATATGACAGTTAAAAGCTTACTACTAAAAGCTGAATATTCTTACCAAGATTTACTATTTTGAGTTAGCCCTCCCAATAGCTGCAAGCCTTTGATTAATCACCGTCGTTTTTTTAAAAATTTGATTCTCTTTTCCTCTCCTTGTATTTGTTCCTTTTATACCTCTTTCTCTAAACTTCCACTATGCAGCAACTAACGGATTAATATCTAACCAGCAGGAACCAAAAGGGTTATGCTCTATTCTGATAGTTTATGTTGTGTAGTTGATAAATGTTAAGTAGAGTCACATATGTGTTAATGTGTATGTGTTATGTCCAGGTCTGTGGCTATGTACATGTGTATATGTAATATTTTGACTATCACACACATAAACCATGTCACATAATAAAAGAGAGGGTTTAAAGAAAGTTTTAAGGGGTAAGAAGTACCCCATAGAGTTGTGTTTTTGTGCTTTCCATATATATATACACACACACATACATACATACATACATATATACATATATACATAAAATAGCCATTCTTTTACCCTTCTCTTTTCCTTTCCCCATGTTTTCTGGCTCTCTTACCACTTTTTCTTCCCAATAGTATTGGGGATCGAACCCAGGGGCACTCTACCACTGAACTATGTGTCCAACCTCCCCTTTAAAAAAAAATTGACATAGGATTTTGCCAAGTTGTTCAGGTTGGCCTTGAACTTAACCATCCTCCTGCCTCAGCCTCTCAAATAGCTTGAGATTACAGGTGTGTGCCACCATGCTTGGCTCCTTTACCTCTTTCACCTCCAGTTATTGCTCACTCCTTTTTAAAAATTCTTATTTCTGGTCCTTATCCATCCATCCACCCCCACCCCCGAAGGTACAAACTTTTTTTTTTTAAATGCTTTTATTTATTTACTTTTATGTGGTGCTGAGGATCAAACCCAGTGCCTGACAAGTGCTAGGCAAGTGCTCTACCATTGAGTCACAACCCCACACCCTGGTCCTTATCTCTTTACCTCTTTTGAAATGTAATCATGTTCCTAAGTGCCTATCAGAGTTGTTAGGGGGCTGTATTTTATTTTGAATAGCATTTTCACATTAAATCTTTTTTGTCTCAGTATTCTCTGTGATACCTAGCTCAGGGTTTTAATACCATCCTCAGTGATTTGAGTTAATCTTGGATTATCTCTTTAGAACAAACTTCACTGATCGTGAGTTTTATGATCTTACTTGATCTTATTCAATGTACTTGGAGCAATAAGAACCTGCTCTTCCTTTACACTGGGATGAGGTGAAATATGCTGTCTTTCTTCTCTTCAGTCTGCTGAAAGGTATTTCTCTAACATGTTTCCTGAACATACTTGAGATACTAATCCATTCTCTTTTTCTTGCTTTTGACAGTGTCACTCTATTGCTTCTTTCTTAGAGGAGTATGTATGGAAGATTTACCTTAATCACTTTACTTTAGTTTGCATGGGGCAGGAAAGACAGAATTCTTCCAAAGCTCTGCCTTCCTCTCCCTGCAAGGGAGGGAAAGAGCTTTGCTTATAGCACATTTTATTCAAGGATAATCACTATGGGATCAGGCAAAAAGTGAACCAAAAGTGTCTTGATTCTGTGGAAATGCCTCTGTGTGTGTGTGTGTGTGTGTGTTTGTGTGTTTGTTTTTAATGCAAGTGTTTTTAGGCTGCTTCCCTTGGAGACTGGAGGTTTAGCCTGTTGCTTATGACTTCTCAATTTGCAGTTTCACAAGCCTGTTCCTGACTCATAGTAGTTTCACATTGGATCTATTGTTTCACATTTCCAGCACTTACTTTTAAGACTCTAGGGGATTGTGTGTGGTCATTTTCTATTTTCAGTAACAGAAGGTGGCTAGTGGGTAGGAGAGTCTAGTAGCTATTCGGTGATTTTTTTTTTTTTTTCTTTCTCTTTATCAGTTTACTCTTTTTCCTTTCTCAAGACTATGAACTTTTTAAAATTGGGACTGGTCTGCCACCCACATAATTTGGTTAAATGATCTTCTCTGTAACTTTGGGATTTTTGTTTTTGTTTTTTGTGGTGCTCGAACCTAGGGCTTTGTGCATACTAAACAAGTGCTCTACCACTGAGCCACATTTCTAGCCCCATGATCTTTCTTTCTAAAACTCCATATTTGAGAAATATGAATGCTCTCAATTTCACATTTGGTGGGGTGTGGGTTACCCTTTCAGCAACAGTCTTTATAGCTTTCAGGGATATGGCTGCTCTGCTCTGCTGAGTGAAATGTTGTGTTACTCTCTACAATAAGACAGGAAGAAAGCCAGTCTCCCCTAACATTTTGTGGCTTCAGCTTTTGGGCAGTACAATTTTCCACTTTGCCCCAAAGCCCAGACACTGCCTCATCTAGCCACACAGTCAAGATTATTGACTAAGTTCTTTATTCTGCCTCACTGGTGCCTTGGCAAACTATATTCACATCAAGTAATTTCACTGGTTGTTTGAACTACTGTTTATCCCAATTGCTATTAGCACAATCCTCAGGAGCATGGTAATTTTGTTAGGCCTGCCAAGATCACCATAAATGTGCATCTCACAACCTGGCCATTTAAAAATCTGAGGTGTCTTGCCCATTCTGAAGAAGGCTGCCACAGTCATCTGATGAATTGATGCTCTGTATAAAGATTTTAGAGACATCTTATAAAACAAAGCACTCTCACTCTTTTGGAACAGGTAGCTTATGTAGCTATAAGTCCAACCATTGAAATCTAAGTAGGTGTCAGAGGTGGTTTCCAATTCTGACTCTCAGACTGAGAATAGGTAGACAATAGAATATCTATTGTGCTAACTAATAGTAACAGAAGTACTACCTACTACTTTACTACCTACTACTTTACTAAATCGTACTTTGTTAGCCAGATTTGTGAAAATTGGCAGGTATTAGAGCAAGATATTTCTGGTAATCCAGTGCCTTTCATAATCACCAGTATCCTATTTAAAAAAGTATACCCATAACACATTGTCTGTGAGCTGAGGACTAGGCAAAGCACTTGCCTAGCATGCACAAGGCCTTGGGTTTGATACACAGCACCATATACATACGAAAAAAGAAAGAAAGGTCTAAAGCTATATTTAGAAAGACGGAAATAAGTCATTTCTATGACATCACCTCTGTTCCCAGTAGTCAACTCAAACTACATTGTGGGGTAATGAGCTTTTGTTGAGCATATTAAGGAAACTAATCATCATTTATTGGTGTGTTTCTCTGAAAATGTGTTTTTAATTTCCCAAGAACTGATTTAACATGAAAATGTTAGAATATAATCTGGTGATAAGTTTAGATTGCCTGTAGTAATTCATTTCTTTAAATGTGGTAATTTAAAAAGTTCTGTTTAAATTAAGACTTGACAGGCATTGGTAATCACAGAGAATATTAACTTCCTCTGAATATTTTAAACAAAGGAGACTTTCTAAAGAAAGTGCTACATATTCATATACTTGCTTTAGTCTTTGTCAAAGTCCCTGGGTCCTTTCCCAGTTTTTCTGCTCATTTTGCACCTTCTAGCTGCTCTTGACTTCTTCAACCACTTGAGTTCATTATTTATTTATTTGTAGTTTTAGATGGACAGCATGTTATTTTTTTATTTTTATGTGGTGCTAAGGATGGAACCCAGTGCCTCACAAGTGCTTTGCCACTGAGCTTTAGCCCCGTGCATTTTTATTTGTCCTCCATTACATCTGAGCCATTACCCCTTAAAACCTTTATCAGTTTTTTGATGCCTGTCTTCTTCCATCTGACTAATATATTTGGAACTTCTTCCTCCATATCTAATTGAGTCTCAGAAGCCCCCCTCATCACTTGTACATTGGTTTCATGATTCTCGTTTTGCTTTTAATGATATGTAGGAAACCCAGGATGAGTCAGCTGTGTTATGGTTGGATGAAATTCAAGGTGGAATTTGGCAGTCCAACAAAGACACCCAAGAAGCACAGAAGTGTATGTATCAGCTATTTTATTTCTGTTTTTTTGTGGAGGGTATGGGTGGTGAGGTATTCCATATCTCCATGTTCAGCTTGACCAAGATAGATATGGGGGCAATAGTTGGCCAGTAGGTATTATTAGGTGAACTAGTGTTTGAACTCAAACAGTTTCAGGTTATTAACAATTCTTTTCTGGGATAGTTGCCTTAGGAATCTTTGCCATTAATGAGGCAGTAGAAAGTGGTGATGTTGGCAAAACACTGAGTGCCCTTCGTTCCCCTGATGTTGGCTTGTATGGAGTCATTCCTGAGTGTGGTGAAACTTACCAGAGTGACCTTGCCGAAGTCAAGAAGAAAAAACTGTCAGCAGGTGCGTTATGGAAAAGTGCATATGTGCCTAAAGCTAAGAACTTCAGTATGTGAAGAGACAGATATAGAAGAAGGGAACAATCTTATGGAAAGATGTTTTAATGTAGAAGTACAGTGTTTAGGCTCATTTTATTATGTATTTGTTTATTTTTGCAGCAGTGTGGATTGAACCCAGTGAGCTACATCTCCACCCCTTTATATTTACTTTGAGATAGGATCTCGCTAAGTTGCCCAGGCTAGCCTTGAACTTGAAATTCTCCTGCCTTAGTCTCCTGAGTCACTGGGATAACAGGTGTGCATCACTACACCTGATTACTCTTACTTTAGAGCAAATATTATCCCAATTTTTGAAAATACTCTTTTTTTTCCTTGCAAATGAGCTGTTAGTTATTTTTATGAGAATGTGGAAAGGATTTTTGACCATTTATCTATTATAGGATTTCAATACCTCTGGTTATCTTTAACTTATAGGCAGTTAAAAATAGTGTATCTGAAAACAAAAATAAGACAATTTTATGGCCCTTTGTTTCTTAACTGGATATGTTGAATGGTTGCAAATTTTTTTTGTACTGCAGATTGAACCCAGGACTGCTTTACCACAGAGCTGCATCCCCAGCCTTTTTATTTTTTAATTTTGAGACAGAGTCTTGCTAAGTTGCTGAGGCTGGCCTTGAACTTTTGATCCTCCTGCCTCGGGCTTTCAAGTTGTTGGGATTATAGCATGTGCCACCACACTTGGCATTTGCAAATCTTTTATCAGAACAGTTTTCCAGCACACAGGCCTTAGACATAGACATTGGAAAGGATAGCCAATCATGGTTAGTTTCATAATTTGACTTCATAGGTATTTTCTTTTTATAATACAGATCTGAATAAACTAAATTAGATATTATATAACCATTATTTAATGTAGTCTTAGAATGAACCTTTACTTGCAAAGATCCAAGGAGCTAGTTTGGGGAATGGTTTTCATTCATATTGTTAAAACCTGACTAGAATAACCCTATAGTATTAGACATATAAATGTGGTGTGTGTGTGTGTGTGTGTGGCTATGGGTTTCTTTTATCTTTCCTTTATTATTATTATTTTTTAAAAATTTTTAGTTGTAGATGGACACAATACTTTGTTAATTAATTTTTTTTTAATATGGTGCTTCTAATCGAACCCAGTGCCTCATTCGTGCTATGCAAGCTCTGTATTACTGAGCCACAACCCCACTCCTTATCTTTCCTTTATTTTCTGCCAGGAGATAATAATAGCAAGTGGGTGAAGCATTGGGTGAAAGGCGGATATTATTATTACCACAATCTGGAGACCCGGAAAGGAGGATGGGATGAACCCTCAGACTTTGTGCAAAATTCTGTGCAGCTTTCTCGGGAAGAGATCCAGGTAAGTCACATTTCTTCATTTGAGAAGGGTCTGAGAGAAAGTGTTTAGAACTAATATTAGTTGAGGGGAGAAGGACATGTGGTCAGAAGTCTTAGACTAAATTTCAGCTATATAATGTTTTGGAGTAATTTTTATATATATATATACCTTTATTTTTATATTTATTTATTTATATTTTTGTATGTGGTGCTGAGGATCAAACCCATTGGCTCACACATGCTAGGCAAGCACTCTACCACTGAGCTATACAACCCTAGGCCCAGAGTAATGTTTTTTAGTGGCTTGGGGGACGACTAAAGGTAAAACATCTGAATAGTAGAATTTAGTGAGATAAATTGTGTGCTTATTAAAGGAAATTTGATTGATCCAGAGATTATCTGCCTTTCATTTGTTCACAGTATTGTGAAAACAGCTGACACAGAACTGAGTCCAGCAGTGTAAGGCAGGGAAAAGTAGGGGCTCTAATAATACAGTGATGGAAATGTTAAGGAAAAGTTAATTCTGTGCTGTAAAAAGATATTATAGGCAATATTTTAGCAGGTCAGAAAAAGAGGAAAGGCCCTTTTGGGCAGAAAAGACATGTGGGGAAAGGCACTGAGAAAGAACATAGACTATTTAAGGATTAACGCATTAGTGTTGTTGACTGGCATACTGATGGTACTGCATTAAAGGAGGCAGAGGGGGACAGTCTAATAGGCATTATCCTGAGAAATCCAGGCTCCATCTTCTACCAGAGTAGTGTGTAACCCTTGCTGGGTCATGTGCCTTTGAGAATCTTACCTCCAGAGAAACACTCATGTCTAGTGTTTTGCAGGTATGTCAGGACCTAAGAATTTAAAGATGGGGTGATATTACCTGGCTTTATGAACATGACCTTAGTGATCCAACTATCAAGTTAGCAGTCCAGACAGAATGTAAGAAGGGGAAGAAAAGCTACAGGGCATACTGCCAGCTCCCTGTCTTCAGGAGCTTTCCCAAAGGTCTCACCTAACCATGCCTACTCAAAGCAGGGGTGGTTTAAATGCTCATGGTGTTGTGGGGGTGTGGGGGATGCTAGAGGGGAGAAGACTCTAACACCACAGAAAAGGGAGAATGTAGGTATTAAATGGGTAACCAGAAGCTCTTCCTCCCCATTCTCACTGCTGCTGCCCTCATTAAGCCCAGGTCCTCTCACTTCCATTATGACGGCAGCTTTCTGATTCACTCACTTTCTTAAAGTTTCTCCTCACTCCATTCTGTCAGCTTTTCTTCTAATAGTATTATTTTTTTTTTTAAATAAATCTGATCGTTAATTTCTTTGCTTCAAGGTTTTCTGGTTCTCCAGTTCCTACAGCAACAGTCCAAAACCTAGATTGCTTTTTAAGATCATTTGCAGTCTGTGTAGGGATGCCACACTTTGGCATCCTGGGGGCCACCTGTGCAGAGTACACAGCCCTGTAGTGGTACCAATCACTATATTCCTGTCAACAGTGACTCCTTCTCGGCTAGTACAGTGGAGATAGTTGGGTGGATAAAAGATAACTTGTAAAAGAAGACCAAGCTGGCCCTGAAAAAACACACCTGAGGTTTATTTCTATTGCTCAGGTGAAAATCTAATAGAGATTTAGGAAGCAGTGAGGGTTAGATTTGTGCTTTGAATGAAACTTTGGTAAAATTAGTGTCCATTCTCAATTTTGGATATCTTTGAATGTGAACCACTGTTTTTTCAGAGTTCCATCTCTGGGGTGACTGCTGCATATAACCGAGAACAGCTTTGGTTGGCCAATGAAGGCTTGATCACCAAGCTGCAAGCTTGCTGCCGTGGCTACTTAGTTCGACAGGAATTCCGGTCCAGAATGAATTTCCTGAAGAAACAAATTCCTGCCATCACCTGCATTCAGGTATTTCAGAGTGTATTATACACACAGCAAGAAGGCTTCTAGATCAGGGGCAATAAACTGTCAGCTCCTAAAATCAAAGGTGTGAGTGTGTTTCTTAACTTCTGACCTTTTTTTCTCCTCTTAACAAATACATTTTCTTTGCTACCATTGTAATCAGTGTGCTTAATGTTTAATGTGTGCTTAGTATTTAATGATGGTACAGTGGCAGTTCTTGTGCGGCCTCTTCTTCTCTCTAACACTATGCCTTTGTGTAAAATTTGAATCTTGAGAGAAAAAACTGGTTTTGCTTCAATAACATGGTAGCACAGTGTCATCACAGAAAGAATCCTGAGTTAGGATTCTTAGGAATTATGGTGCCACTCATACCAGACACTGGTGAATCTTAAGTTTGCTTCTTCATCTGTAGAATGGGAATACTAATTTTTAGCTTCCTTAATAGATTTATTGTTAAGGAACCAGTCAGCGAGTCTTTATGCTGCACTTTAAACGATGTCCAGGAAGTGGAATGTAGCCACCGTTCTCCTGGAGGAGGTGTGGCCAGGCCCTCCTTCTAGTGTCACTGCTGGAAGCAGTTCTTTCTAAAGCTTCATCATGAACTTGTACTTGGATGATATGTCAGGATGAGATTTTTTTTAACTTCCACTGATCCTTGGGAAATAACATGTCACCTATAATATTTGATGACTGCAGTCGCAGTGGAGAGGATACAAGCAGAAGAAGGCATATCAAGACCGTTTAGCTTACCTGCGCTCCCATAAAGATGAAGTTGTGAAGGTATGGTAGCCTGAGTGAGGTTCCTCCAGGTGGGGTGCAAACATGGCATGTTTAAAGAAGGACTCTTCTAAGTTCCAGGATCCCTTTTCCACAGATTCAGTCCCTGGCAAGGATGCATCAAGCTAGAAAGCGCTATAGAGATCGCCTACAGTATTTCCGAGACCATGTAAGTACTCTTGGGTAACATGGGCCAGTTATATTGCTTCTACTACATATTTGTTAGAAGAATGAGTAAAGGCATTTCTTTTTCTTTGCTTCTCAGATAAATGACATTATCAAAATCCAGGCTTTTATTCGGGCAAACAAAGCTCGTGATGACTACAAGACTCTCAGTGAGTAACTTGGGAGGAGTTGGGTCAGTGCTTGGGAGCCGTCAGGTTCTGGGTGTTCACCACAGATCTCTTTGCTTGTCCTGAAGGCAAGCCTTGGTGGGAAGGTACTACTTGGGATTTAAGCCCCTTTTCTAATGTGGCTAGATGTCTTGTTGCTTGCTGCGTTAGCCATTGTTGTAACATAGCAATAGTATGATAGAGAAGACTGCACTTGATATATCTAAGACGTCTCAAAAATTTTCAAGATAATGCAGATACTTCCTGGACCTTAGAACTTTTTTTGATAACTCTTGTTCTTTGTGTGATATATGTTTTTCCTTCTGTCAGTCAATGCTGAGGATCCTCCTATGATTGTGGTTCGAAAATTTGTCCACCTGCTGGACCAAAGTGACCAGGATTTTCAGGAGGAGCTTGATCTTATGAAGATGCGGGAAGAAGTCATCACCCTCATTCGTTCCAACCAGCAACTAGAGAATGACCTCAATCTCATGGATATCAAAATTGGACTGCTAGTGAAAAATAAAATTACATTGCAGGTATGACCCAATGCCCGTGGGACCCTACAGCACTTTGTGTCCTGCTTTGTCACCTCTGCTTTACCTTTTCTGATCCTCAGGGGGCATAGAGGCTTATAACTTTTTTTCAGCTAATGACATTTTTTTTTTAAGTTTCATATGAAGTAAAATAATGGAATTTTAGAAAATAAAAAATCCTCCCCTAATTCCACTACTCCGTAATCATTTTTTATCCTACTTTTTGTTTTGTTTTTGTTTGCTTTTGTGCTGCTGGAGATCAACCCAAGGCTTCACACATACTAGGCAAGCACCCTACCACTCAGCTACATGCCCAGGCCTCCTAGATATATATATATTTTTTTTTTAGTTGTAGGTGCACACAATATATTTTATTTTTATGTGGTGCTGAGGATCGAACCCAGTGCCTCATACGTCCTCCTACATTTTAATGTTAGAGGATAAGACTCTTTTTCCATGTGATAAATATTGTAAGTAATCTAAGGGCAGTATAATACTTCATTAGAAGATACACTTTGAAGGGCTGGGGATGTGGCTCAAACGGTAGCGCGCTTGCCTGGCATGCGCGGGGTGTTGGGTTCGATCCTCAGTACCACATAAAAATAAAAACAAAGATGTTGTGTCCACCGAAAATTTAAAAATAAATATTAAAAAATTCTCTCTTAAAAAAAAAAAAAAAGATACACTTGATTTGCCTCATTTTCCCCTACTGTTTTGACATTTAGGTTGTTTCCCGAGTTTTTATTATAAATAAAATAGCGGTTAATATCTCAAATGATGTTTTTATTATATTTGAATTTTTCTTTTTGAGATGGGATCACACTATGCTGCCCAGGCTGTCCTTGAACTCTTAGACTCAAATAATCCTCCTTCCTCATCCTCCCAAGTAGCCGGGACTATCACTGTGTACAAGATTTGTTTTTCTTTTTTGTGTGTGGGTTTTTTGTTTTGTTTTGTTTTGTTTTTGCTTGCTTGTTTGTTTTCTGTACTAGGATTCCCCTTAGGGCCTTGTACATAGGCAAGTGTTCTACCATTGAGCTGCATCCCAGCCCTCTCTACTTTTTCTTTCTTTGAGACAGAATCTTGCTAATTTGTCTTGGTTGGCCATGAACTTGTGACCATTCTGCTTCAACCTTCTGAGTACCTGGGATTATAGGCATATACTAACCATGACTGGCTTAAGATGCTTTGTTGTTGTTGTTGGTGGTGGTGGTTTTGTTTTATTTTATTTTTTGGGGGAGGTACTGGGGATTGAACCAGGGTGCTCTATATTTTTATGATAAATTCCTAGAAGGTGGTTTCCTGATTCCATGGACTGTTCTTTTTTTGTTTTTTGTTTTTTTGTTATCCCTGAGCCTATATGAAAAACCACCCATATAGCTCATATTCCTTATAGGAAGGCAGAAGTTGGAATGGAGTTGATTGGAATACTAGGCTAAAATAGGATATTTTAGTGGTTCAAAAATATTTAGTGGGAATCTGCCAGCATAGAAGACCTTCATGTAAGTGTGCAAGTACTAAAAGACCTTTTCACATGCCCAGAGTTTCCTTTTAGAAAACTTTTCAATCTGTGTGTTGGTTTCTGTTTATAGGATGTGGTTTCCCACAGTAAAAAACTTACCAAAAAAAATAAGGAACAGTTGTCTGATATGATGATGATAAATAAACAGAAGGGAGGTCTCAAGGCTTTGAGCAAGGAGAAGAGAGAGAAGTTAGAAGCTTATCAGCACCTGTTTTATTTACTGCAGGTGAGTGGCTCCTTAAATTGGTATTGCAACATTTAGTTCATTTACTTTCCCACAAGGAAATCTTACGCATACATCTCTTGAAAGTATTTCTGATTTCTACCGAGGGTATGTGCAGGGCTGTCTTATTTTTCTTTACTTATCTAACCCTTCAAATTAAAAAAAAAAAAAAAAAAGAATATTTTTTGTCAGTCTTCATGTTATCTAGGAATTACTTATCCCTTGGTTTTATTTCAGACCAACCCCACCTATCTGGCCAAGCTGATTTTTCAGATGCCCCAGAACAAGTCCACAAAGTTCATGGACTCTGTAATCTTCACACTCTACAACTATGCATCCAATCAGCGAGAGGAGTACCTGCTACTGCGACTGTTTAAGACAGCTCTCCAGGAGGAGATCAAGTACGCAGGGATTGCTGCAGAGTGGCGCCCCTTCCAACCATCACAGATGCTCATAGTTTCAGAATCAGTCCTGCCCAGGCCTTTTCTTTATCTCAGTTAATTTGTGAGAAGTACTTTCTAAAGAAGCATCCACTTTTTAAAAATTATATATAAAGTATATAATATAAAGTTTTGCTTCTGGGAGAATAAGATATTTGCTAAATTAATTTTAGAAATATTTTATTGTCAGATACAATTCCAAATAAAGCTGATCCAAACATAATGGCCCCATATGTCTGTCTAAGAGGCCCTCATCATGACTCCATGAGTCAGTATATAGCTGCAGGAAGGTCCCATGAGTGTTGGGAAAATTTTCAACTTGCTCTGTTCCCAAGGATATGGGAATCTATAAATAGGAATGCTCTTTAAGATGATAAATTCTGAGATTAAATTGAATTGTATCTGATGTTTTATAGGTCAAAGGTAGATCAGATTCAAGAGATTGTGACAGGAAATCCTACAGTTATTAAGATGGTTGTAAGTTTCAACCGTGGTGCCCGGGGCCAGAATGCACTGAGACAGATCTTGGCCCCTGTCGTGAAAGAGATTATGGATGACAAATCTCTCAACATCAAAACTGACCCTGTGGACATCTACAAATCTTGGGTTAACCAGATGGAGTCCCAGACAGGAGAGGCAAGGTATGATAGCTGTACCACTTTTTCTTTCCTGTTTTTATTACTTTCTCTGCCTTTTAAAAAATGTAATCACCTTTGATTTACAAAATAATAATGGTTCTAATAGCTTTTCCTTAGAAAACCTGTTCTTTAAACTGCTAAACTGGTAACAAATTTGCTTGTTTAACAAATGTTTATTGAGTATTTACTATGTCCCAGGCACTGTGTTAGATACACATATAGTAAAACATATAATAATGAGAGAAACAAACATGCTTTTTGCCCTCTCTTTATAGTTTATTAGATAAGAGAGACAACAAATAGATACATAAAAATAGTGATAAATCGAGGGAAGTTTTGGGAGGTTTAATGTAGGGTACTATAGTAGAAAATACAAGAGAAAGCAGTGTAGATAGGGTGGTTAGGGAGACTCTGACTGAGGAGGTGGAATTTCATTTGGCTGAGGCCTTGGTACAGAGTGTTCATGCCTCAGTGCCCTACAGTGGAGGGTCTAGGACCTGAAAGGATCCTGATATAACTAGAGATTCAGTTGAATGAACAGGAAGGCTGCAGATGGGTGAGACCATCCTATTTGATTAAAGTAAAATTTTAAAAATGGTATAGGGTGAATGGCCAGCTGCCCTGGTACACTGAGAGACTAACTAAATTAATTTATTATAGGAGATTTCTGTGCCAGGCCTATAGTTTAACCACCAATGTTAACTTACCTAAAGCACAGGTTTGTCAGTCAAATATGGGTAATACTGGTAAAACAAAGTTAAAGAAAGCCAAAATGTTTCAGGTTTTATTGAGCTTGAGTGAGGAATGGAGATAAGAGCAGCTTGATGTCTGGTGTTTTTCTTCTTATAGAGTAGGGTTAGCTCATACATAAAGCTCCCGGGAGTCCACACCATTGCAATTCAAAGTGTGGTTTGCAGGCCAGTTATGGGAGATCTTGTGTGTAACAGTTTAGTTCAGCTGACGTTTCTCAATGAGGAAAACTGTACATTGATTTTCATTCTGGCTCAATCTCCTCATCTTGTCTTCCACTGGTTAAAGACTGGCACTGATCCACAATTTGAATAACACTGTTCTACATCATTCTACTTTGTATCTGGACGCCATGCAAAGGAGGAAGTGTACCCTCCGTGAAGAACAGAACATGCTGACTCCTAGAAAGAACTTATCCCTGCTGGGAATCATTTGGCATCTGATTTTTGTTCTCAGTACTTTTAGTCTTTCACCAGGATTCAGATCATTGCTTGGTGTGATGAAATACTTGTGTGGGAAGTTTTCTCTTCCTTCCTTCTCCCTCTCATTCTCTTTTATGTCTCCCTCTCGACCCTTTTATTTCTCCTTCCTTCTCTCCCTCACCACCTCTCTGTCCCTCTTATCCTTTCCTTTCTGGTATGGAAGGAACTCAGCCTTATGCATACTAGGTACACATGGTAGCCCTGAGCTACACCCCTAGCCTTGTCTGGGAAGTTTTGCTGGCAGCCTAGAGCTTCTCTGGTTAACAGCCCATGGACAATGGCTCAAGGGTACTAAGTTATTCCCCTTGATGGTCCATGAGTCAGTGCTATTTAGATCAGAATTCCAGTGGCCATTTTTTTTCTCTTATGGCTATCAGTAAGAAACTCTTGTTTCCTTTTACTTTTCAGAAAATGGAAATTGATTTTAATATTTTTTTGATACCAGTAACTGTGAGGTGTGGTGGGAACCATCCTATGTGTGGACATCACAAAGGCTAGAGCCTTCCTCTTGCAGCTACCACACAAGCAGGCCATGACCTTGTCACCTCTTGGGAAGAATGGTCACCTCTGAAACCTTAAAAGGTTTAATCTTTTCTCTGACTACAACCATTGATTTTAGTACTTTTGTTCCCTTTGCTCATTGCTTTGTTTTCCTTGTTTATATTTTTTTAATTAAAGAAATATTTTGGGGGGCTGGGGTTGTGGCTCATTGGCAGAGCACTTGAGATATATATATATATTTCTTTTTTTTTTTTTTTTTCTGTACTAGGGATGGAACCCAGGGCCTTGTGTATAGTTAGGAAAGTACTTTACCACTGAGCTACATTCTAGCCCCACTATAATAAGGCTATTATAGATTTTACTAATATTAAATAGTAAGATACATAGTACAACTTTTTATAAATTGCAAATTGCTTATTGTTTCTCACTGAATGTTACTATTGAGCTGAATTCATGTATTATAGTCTACCTGTGGAGTATTTGACACTATGACAGAGTCATAACCCTATCTACTTGTATTAGTTTCCTAGGGTTGCTATAACAAATCACCACAGATTTCTTAAACAATAGAAATTTGCCTGGTTTGTTGGGTGTAATTCCAGCAACTCAGGCAGCTGAGGCAGGAGTGTCAGAAGTCCCAGGCCAGCCTCAGCAACTTAACCAGAACCTGTCTCAAAATTAAAAAAATAAAAAGGACTAGGGATGTATCTCCATGGTAAAGTTCAATCCTCTATATGGGAAGGAAGTGGGGGATTTATTCTCTCACTGTTCTGGAGGCAAGAAATCTGATGTCAATATTGCTGTGCTGAAATCAAGGAACTGGCGGGGCTGTGTTCCCTCTGGAGGCTCTGGTTAGAAATCTGTTCCTTGCTTCTTCCAGCTTTTGGTGGCTGTTAGTATCCCATTACTTGTGGCCATATTGCTGGTCTCTGCCTCCTCCTCTTCTGGGTATATGAAATCCGCCTCTGCCTTTCTCTCATAAGGCCCTTGGGCTTAGGGCTCATCTGGATAATCCAATATAATTATTACTATTTTTTGACTTTATGAAAGTACCAAAACCATGATCTCTGCATTTCATTTTGTGTTTCAACTTCCTCTGTCCTCCCTCCCATTCTGGTTAAGCCGTTCTAGCACATCTACTGTTCCCATGCCAGTTCTGACTCATTCAGTGCCCTCTCCTTAAGTAATCTCATTAGTGCCTCTGGCTCCGATTCCTGTATGTAACTGTCTACTCCCTTCAGCATCCAAAAGGCCTCAGATTCTATTAAATGTAGTTTATCTACTTTATATCCATCAGATTTTTTTCTCTTGGTCCCCACTGCTGCACCCTTGGTCATGCTCAGGATTTCTTCATCAGGCTGTGACATTGATCTCCTGCCTCTTTCATCTGTGTCTGTCCGTATTTAATTCATTACTTACCAGAGCAGTCTTCCTCAAAATGCATATCTCCTAACTTTTGATAGTTTCCACTGGCTTCTGATTACTAACAAGTCCAGATTTTGTTAGTGTATATGCAGGTCCCTCCTCCCTTTCTTTGCATTTGATCTTCATTCCTGGAAGACCCTTCTCTCTTTTTCCTGAGTTCAGTTGTCTCTTCCTTTTGGAAGCCACCTTTGCTTTCTGCAGTCTGAGTGGTAGTCTGTAGTCCTGCAGCACTTCTGGTCAACTTCTGTTTGTTTATACTGATCCCTGTCTGTGTCTCCCACGGGACTGGAAGATTATCAAGAGAAGATATATCTTGTCTTTAATCCTAAGTGTTTATCATAGTGCTGGCACAAAATTCATGACACCTAATTCACAATTTGAAAAACTGAGTTCAAATTCTAGCCTTGGGCTGGGTTGTGGCTCAACGGTAGACCGCTTGCCTTGTATGTGCGAGACTCTGGGTTCGATCCTGAGCTCCACATAAAAATAAATAAGTGAAATAAAGGTATTGTGCTCAACTACAACTAAAAAATAAATATTAAAAAAAAAATTCTAGCCTTACCACTTAACAGCTCTGTGAGCATAAGTGTAAGTTACCTAACCTTTCTAGATCTTTCTGTGTATAAAAGTCATGGTTCCTGGCTGTCAGTCTAACATAATTGGGGGGAATTTCTGCTTTTCCAGCAAACTGCCCTATGATGTGACCCCTGAGCAGGCTCTGGCTCATGAAGAAGTGAAGACACGGCTAGACAACTCTATTAGGAACATGAGGGCTGTGACAGACAAGTTCCTCTCAGCCATCATTAGCTCTGTCGACAAAATCCCGTGAGTGCTATCAGTTTTTATGACCCCAAATATAGCCCAATGTTAGTGTCTTGCTGTTCGTTTGACCCTTCTCACTGTTTATCCATCCCACAGTTATGGGATGCGCTTCATTGCCAAAGTGCTGAAGGACTCCTTGCATGAGAAGTTCCCTGATGCTGGTGAGGACGAGCTGCTGAAGGTAAGAGTCTGAAAACCGACAGAATCCTGCCCTTCTAATAGCCCTTTGAAGAAAAAGTTACAAAATTAGTCCTGACAGACCATTAGTGGGTGCCTAAGCATAGTTTCTGGCATAATTCACCATTGATTGTGAACTCTTGAAAGCAATTGTAAATAGTAAATCATGGCTCTCTTGGTATGAAACAGTTCCTATTCAATTTGAATGGCACTCAGTGTACCTTAAACACAAGTAGAGAAAGATGGATTTTTTTTCCTGTCTCATTAAATTTCTGAGTTCTATCTTCTCGCTGAAGAATTGCTCCCTCTGCTGGTGGCCAGGTGAAAAATAGCAAGCACAATTGTTTCTGCTAAAGCTATTGCTGAAAAAACTTTCTTACTCAGCTACACTCTTTTCTTCTTCTTTTTTTTTAATCTGAACGCTTTTTTCTTCTCTCTCCTAGTTCTGTGCTTTTCCACAGTGAGGCCTCGATTCTAGACTTTCTGTTCAGGTGAATTAATTTTATTTTTTCTGAATGAAACCTCTAGGGGAAATGCTGTGACTATCCTTGAATTCTTCTGCAATAGAGATGTATGTTGAGTGATTTCATTTCAGAGGCATAAAGTTTGCCTTTGAAGTCTGCAGCATGAGGATGATGGGGGTTGGACAGCTTGCACTATGCTAAGTAGATTGTGTTTAAGTACTTATCTTAACTATGTTTATTAGCTTCTTATAATGAAAAGCCCACCTGTGTGAAAGTAAAAAGTGCATGTGAATGACAGCAGCCCTATTTGCTACCATGATATATGAACAAAAGATGCCCTTAAGTCTATCATTTTTATTTCCGAATCTCTTCTTTCATCAGTTACTGGTAGTGGTTCTCCCTTTTTTCCCCACACCCAACAAAATAATTTTTATTCTAATTCTAGGCCCTGAGAGAAAGTTTATCTATGCATGGTGCATGTGCGTGTGTGTGTATGTGTTTTATTTTTTTCCTCACAGGATTGCATTTTCTCGTTTTCGTTGCTAGCAAAGTCATTAGTGGTGTACTTGGTGATATGGTTTTTAATAGCCAGCATTATTTTTTATCTGTTTCCAGATTATTGGTAACTTGCTTTACTACCGATACATGAATCCAGCCATTGTTGCTCCTGATGCCTTTGACATCATTGACCTGTCAGCAGGAGGCCAACTTACCACTGACCAACGCCGAAATCTGGGCTCCATTGCAAAGATGCTCCAACATGCAGCTTCCAATAAGATGTTCCTGGGAGATAATGCCCACTTAAGCATCATTAATGAGTATCTTTCCCAGTCCTACCAGAAATTTAGGTAAGAGAAAGGCACAAAATATCTGAAAGATTCTGTGAGCATATTTTAATCTCTGAGGGAAAAGAAAAGGTTAAATACCACCTCTAGCTTTCCCTGGACTGAGCTGCCATATCGCAAGATACATGTTTGATATACTCAGGGCTCCAAAGGATGGTGCATTCGTTTTGAAGAAGATTTTCTTATGACATAGACAGTACTTAATATAAAAACAGTAGTTATAGGTTAGGCCCATGTTTCTTTGTAATCAAAGAAGAATTGAGTGCTCTTAATTTTGATTAATTAACAGTTTTGGATTCACTGCTTCAGAGTATTATCCTACAGGTAAATGGCATGGGTGTCTGAGAACTGTCTTAAATTGTAGTTGAGTGGTTTTTGTGGGCAGAACTAAAACTAGATATAGAACAGAATTATTTGAACCAGTATCCCAAAGCATCAAATATGCAGTAGTTTCTCTAGAATTAATTCTCTTCACTAGCTTCTGTCTGAACTCATTGCTTGAAAGGTTTGTGGACTGTCTTCTTGCAAGCTTCTCATGTGTGTGTCACTTGTTGGGGGGCTGCCTCCTGTGTTTATTTTCAGACGATTTTTCCAAACTGCTTGTGATGTCCCAGAGCTGCAGGATAAATTTAATGTGGATGAGTATTCTGATTTAGTAACCCTCACCAAACCAGTTATCTACATTTCCATTGGTGAAATCATCAACACCCACACTGTAAGTATTTTTCTTTAATTACTTAATTTCATTACTCTGTCATTAATTAATTATCTTCCTTGGCTGCTGCTTACTATGTCTGGTGGTCAAGTGTCTCAGCATCCTGTGATGTTAATGACACCAAATCTTGTTGTCTTTCTTCCTTTGCTTCTCCCCTACTCCCCGACAATTCTGGGTATCAAAACTATAGCCTCTTGCATGCCTAGTTTCTGGAAATTATTCCCAGGTCACCTACATTAGAATTATCAAGTTACCTGACCCCACCACAGGTGGACTGAGTGAGTCAGAATCCCTGGGCTCCAAAATGTACATTGTGAGCACTTATCTAGTGGCTTGAAAAAATTGTATTTTTTAAAACATTATCTAGAATACCAATTTCTTCCTCTCTGTAGCCTTGGAGTGACTCCCCCACCCTTGGAAGCTCCTATTTCCATAGAGTTTTCAAATAATTTCTTTCCCCTTTGGGGACATGCAGAAAAAAAAATGAGGATGTATGTGAAATATAAGTGAAATTTCAGGGACTGTCATTTCTGAGAATATAACCTATGATAATACCATCTTGAGGGCTTGATAATGAAATATTCATTTGGTGTGCTTTTCACTGAATTAAAAGATATTGTGCCAGGCATGGTGGCACACACCTGTAATCCCAGCAGCTCAGGAGGCTGAGGCTGGAGGACTACTAGTTCAAAACCAGCTAAGTGCCCCTAGGTTCAATCCCTGGTACAAAAAAAAAACCGATATTATACACTGGCTGCATTTGATCTCCCACGGTGGGGGTTAGGGTGCCCACAAGATACTCTACCCTGGAAGCATTTACAGTCTGAATGTGAGTTATTTGAACTGGCAGTAGGCTATATTGGTGAATTTAGATATTGAAGTCTATGGATTTCATTGGGGCCGTGAGGTTTAAAGAGTATCAGTGTTTCTTCTCCATACATCATAACATACATCAGTCAATGGAGCCTATTGTGCTACTTAATATATTTTGTTTTTATTTGATTTAATTGGCTGAGGATTAGCTTGTCAGTGTTTTGAACATACGAGCTTTGTTGTCTGGCCTCCTTTGTATAGATCACTGGTAGGCATCATGGGTGGGGATAGGGGCTAGACAGCTGGGTATGAAAATGGCATTGAAAATAGGATCTTTTCAGCTCCTGTTAGACCACCAGGATGCCATTGCTCCAGAGCACAATGATCCAATCCATGAACTGCTGGACGACCTTGGAGAGGTGCCCACCATTGAGTCCCTGATAGGTAATGTTCTGACTTAACTGCCCAGAAGATGAGAGGTGAACACGACAGAAAAGTGTTGTGTTGTCATCACCTCCTCTTATTTTGCACTTTACCAAATTCTGGATATGTATTGGGAAACAAAAACAAATGTGGCCCCTTTCTGTGAGAAGTTGAAGTCCAATGGAAGAGATCATTTTAAGTATAAATAATCATACAATTAGAAAGTCCTGTAAGGAAGAGATTTTGAGAGAGAATTGTGATATTACAGTGTTAAAATTATTTGTCAGCTATTTATGAAATTATTTCATTATGGATCCTTTGCCTTTTTAGTTTTGGCATAATATTTTCTTTTATTTCTGAGTAAAAAATATTCTTGCCACACTATGTTGTTTTATTCAAGTATCATCTTAGATTTGCATATTTTATTTGTATACTATCGCCCAAATATCTCCTCCTTTTATTATATTAACTCTCTTCTCTCCCCCCACCCCCAAACCTTCAGGGGAAAGCGCTGGCAATTTAAATGACCCAAATAAGGAGGCACTGGCTAAGACAGAAGTGTCTCTCACATTGACTAATAAGTTTGATGTGCCTGGAGATGAGAATGCAGAAATGGATGCTCGGACCATCTTATTGAAGTGAGTATTGAAAGTAGGAAGAATGAAGTGAATATAATTCAAAGATCCTTGGACTTTTGGTGAGAGAACAAACTGGATTGTACCTGAAATGATCCTCCTGGCCTTCATAACCATCATAATTCTGGTTATCTCTTATGTTATGCATGGCATTTTAATACCTTATTTGTATAAGTATTTGTCTATCTTACTTTGCTAATGTTCTAAAATAAAATTTAAATCTCAGAAATCATAACCCTGGTACCTACTGTGTTGTAATTGTGTAAATAAGCCCAGGGCCTCAAGTACCTTGTATCACCAGCTGTCTGCTGGCATCTCTGTGAAATGATATTTGTATTGCTATTGCTTCGGTTCACTTAAAAGGAAGCAAAATACACAGTATAATGTTTAAATGCTTTCTCATCTCATTTTAGCACAAAACGTTTAATTGTGGATGTCATCCGATTCCAGCCAGGAGAGACCTTAACTGAAATCCTAGAAATACCAGCCACCAGTGAACAGGTAAAATTTTAGGTTTAACTTAACATCTTCCTAAGTAGATAAGCTTTCCTGTAAGTGCATGCCAGGGTTAAAGGAGGTGGACACAGATAAGAGATTGTGATCTAGGGTGACTCTGGATTTAACCAGAGGATGGTGGTAATTAGGACTAGTTTGAGAAAGTTGTTAGTTCCAGAACATCCAGAAAATGTTCTTAGGACATAAAGCTCTCTGACACGTACATGCAGAGAGTGAGTCATTTTAACCTGGGGCAGAATCAATGAGTTCATTTAGTAATTTATTGAATATTTTATAGTTGGAATTCTATCAACCTTGGTATATAGAAGAAAAGTACAGAATGTGGCTCCTAAATTTAATGATTTTAAGATTCTGGGACTGGGGATGTGGCTCAAGCGGTAGCGCGCTCGCCTGGCATGCATGCGGCCCGGGTTCGATCCTCAGCACCACATACAAAAAAAAGATGTTGTGTCTGCCGATAACTAAAAAAAAAAAAGAAAGAAAAAGATTCTGTTGGGGAAATGTGACCTATATACTGGAAACAGTGATAAAACCATTTAAAATTAACTCTATACAGAGTATAAAAATGATATAAGTTTGAGGAAAGAGGTGAATGAGGAGGAGGGCATCAGGAAGGCTCCATGAAAAAGTGGAACTTGCAGAATGAGCAGGATCTGGATGTGCATTTAAGTCAAGAGAAGGCATTCTGTGCAGGAGAGCCCACATGAACAAAGGTGCAAAGGAGAGGAAGAGCGTGATGTGATCAGACTACATATCTAGGATGAAGATATGAGCGGAAGGAAGTAGTGAGAAAAAAAAAAATCACACAAGACCGAATTATTTAGAACCCAAAAGCTAGACAGGAATTTAGCCCTGCAGAGATAAGGACTAAAGCATGTTTGTAAACCCTGAGGTCATTTAATATTGATTAATTGGGCAAAGTTGTCAGGGAAGATGGTGGTTGAATTATCTAAATGTGTGATGAAGTCTCAGAGTGAGGGGTGGAATGGGGAGGTAGGCTTTGGGAAGGGTTGGTGGGTCCACTTCATGTTTAAAACTTGTTTCTCATTTGTCAGATGAGAAAGTTGGTCAAGTCATTTTTTTTTTTCATGTTTTAATCATGGGAATTTTCTTCATTAAGTTGATAACTTACTTAGAAGCCCACTATAAAAGGGAGATTGGTAGAGGAAAAGGACCAGGGGGGAACGGGAAGAGTTGAGTGAGGGGGAGGTAGTGGGGAGTGATATTATCAAATTACATAGATAAATCATGTGCATGTACAAATATGTAACAACAAACCCCATTATTATATACAACTACAATCCACCAGTGAAAATGTGGGAAGAGGTAGGGAAAGCCCCCTATAAACCAAACATGGTGGGAACATCTGAAACCCAAGCTACTCAGGAGACTGAGGCAGAAAAATCACAAGTTCGACGCCATCCTGGGCAAAGTTGATAAAAACCTTATCTCAAAATAAATTTTTGAAAAGTCCTGGGGATGTGGCTCAGTAGTAGAGGACCTTTTAAAGGTTCAATCCTTAGTACTGGGGTGGGGTGGGTAGGGCAAGTAAAACTAGAGCTACTTTGGGAGTTCCAAGAACAGGGCACCTGGAACTTGGCCCTCCAGGACTCATGGTACTTCTGGGAAATCCTCAAGGCTATACAGAGAACTGTTTGAAAACCACTGTTTTAAATGAATTCTCAGCTATTAGACAATGTATTACTACTTAGGTGTGTATGAGGGACAAGAAAAGGTATGCCCAATAACTGCAGCATCTTTAATCTGGAAGGAAATTTGAAGTAGGAAAGCAGGAACCATCCTCTATTGAAAATCTATTATTTGTTAGTACTTCTATTATCTTTTGTTTTTCATTTATTCCTCACATTATCCCTATGAGGTGAGTCTTTTCATCCCTGTTTTACAAATTAAGAAACCAGGACCCTTACAGGTTAAGATCACCAGCCTGTTGCAAAAAAACAGACTTGGATCCAGTCTGTCTGACTCCAGAGGCTGCATTCTTTTGCATTATGGGATGCACAGTTGTCTTGACATTAGAAGAAAGAGGGATAGTGGGAAAGGGGAAAGGGAATCACTCTATTTGGGAGGAATTACAAATTTGAACTACAAGCCACTGCAAATGTAACTTCCCATTATAAGCAGTTCAAAACATACTGGCTGGGCATGGTGGCACACACCTGTAGTCCAAGTGACTCAGGAGGCTGAGGCAGGCAGATCAAAGCCCTAAGCAACTTAGACCCTGTCTCAAAAAAAAAAAAGAACTGGGGATGTAACTGGGGTAAAATGCCTCTGGGTTAAATCCCCAGTATCAACAAAACAAAAAGCGCCACCAGAGCCTTTTTTGCAAAGATTTGGATTCTATCACCATAAAGGTGATCATTAAAGTATTGAAAATATATAAAGAGAAATGGTCATGGGTCACTTGGAAGTATCAAACCCATGCAGAAAAAATAAAGAGCAGATGAGCAAAGTGACAACCAAGAAAAGTTATTAGATTTGGGGTGGAAGAATGGTAATTGGTGATGAGAGCTGTAGATACTGAAGTTGTTGAAGAAGAAAATGCTAAAAGACTGGAATAGCAAGTGTAGATCATTTGTTGGGCAGAGATGTAACTGACAAATGAATGATAACAAGGAAAGATGGCAGAATTGAAGGAAGGTTGTTTTGTTGTTGTTGTTGTTATTGTTTTTTGTAGTTATAGATGGACAGAATGTCTTTATTTTACTTGTTTATTTTTATGCTAAGGATTAAACCTAGTGCTAAGGATTAAACCTAGTGCCTCATGAGTGCTTGGCAAGTGCTCTGCCATTGAGCTACAGCCTCAGCCCTCCAAGGAAGGTTTTTCCCTTCTTAAGATATTGTCATTTGCAGTATGTTTGAAAGCAGAGGGATGGCTTGATTCAGCCTAGACAAGGTGGCCAAAGGATTAGCAAGGTTTTACTGGTCACTGATGTTGTTATTGTAGTTATGACATTTGTGGAGCCAGGTTTTGAAAAATTTAAAAGCACATGGTATCTATGATTACCTTCCTCTGCTTCATGAAGTTTCTCATTTGTCATTTGGTAGAGGGGCATAACTTGTTCCCCTCTGTTTCTAGAATGAAATTTGAGAACTGTATAAATTCAGATACAAATAAGCTATGTAAATCCAATTTTAGAATCAGTGTGGCAACCTTGCCAAGAAATTGTTTTTCTCATCTGTAGGAAGCAGAACATCAGAGGGCCATGCAGAGACGAGCTATTCGTGATGCTAAAACTCCTGATAAGATGAAAAAGTCAAAGACTGTGAAGGAAGACAACAACCTCACTCTCCAGGAGAAGAAAGAGAAGATCCAGACAGGCTTAAAGAAGCTAACGGAACTTGGGACTGTGAACCCAAAGAACAAATACCAGGAACTGATTAACGACATTGCCAGGGTACTGAATTTGGGGGACAGTAATGGCCTTGCCTTGTTTAAAGTTATTTCAGGGGCTCATAAAGGGATAGTAGTTGCTCAGAGAAAAGCTTCAGTTCACGAATTATCATCTTCCCCTCTGAGAAACTGTTTCTGACTCTGACTTGAGGACCTTGCTTGTCCTGCTATAGATTATTCCATAGCCTAAATTAACAGGGAGAGGATCTTATATTAGAGTTTCCTGGGTCTAAACTTGTCCTTGGCCTTAAAGAATTCTTCAGATCTTTTTCATAGTTACTATGAAGTATAAAGTTGGTCATCAGATCCTTGATTTGTATGATTCATTTCAAGTGAGGGGCTCTAACGTAAGCTGAGAATTTTAGGCATTCTCTGTTATTGCACTAAGGATACCAGGCACACCTAAGAACTCGGTGATTGATGTTCTTCTTTTCTCTCTCTCTTGACAATATATATTAATTTGTGAACCCAGATTGCTGCCTGTCAGGAATGTGTGTTCATGCTCAAGACAGAGTTAAGCATTGCTGGGGTCTAGTGCTGAATAAACCACGATGATTCAAGAAGCACATGGTATCATTATTTTCCTAATCTTAATACTTATGTTTCAGGACATTCGGAATCAGCGGAGATACCGACAAAGGAGAAAGGCCGAACTGGTGAAATTGCAACAAACATATGCTGCTCTGAATTCTAAAGCCACCTTTTATGGGGAGCAGGTGGATTACTATAAAAGCTATATCAAAACCTGCTTGGATAACTTAGCCAGCAAGGGCAAGTGAGTATTAAAAAAAAAAAAAAAATCAATCCAAGGAAAGAATAGGATTGAGTGGGGAAAGAGTACAGGCTATTGAAGTGACATTGAAAAGTTTTACCTAACACAGCCTGGATCTGTTTATCACATTAGTTTTCTATTTTGCTTCTCGTTATTTGCATAATTGGCTACCTCCATTCACTAGTGTATGATGGAAATAATGCAGAGGATGGGGGTAATTTCAAGGATGCTTACACCAGAGCATTCCTAGTTCCAAAATACCTCCTTGAGCTTATAAAAATTAGAGAATCATGAAGATTGGTCATCTAGTGGTCGCAAAATCTAAGTGTGCTTTCAAGTCTCTTAAGGAATATTAGACAAATTTGGATTCCCTAGCCCCTGGGGACAAGATCAGAATCTGAGGAAAATCTGGTACAGCTTTCCTAGAGCTAGTCACAAACCATCAGCATACTCATTACAGGGAGAGACTGAACACCCAGAGAGGTGAGGTGATGAGTGCAGGTTCTACTTGTGAGGTTGGTTTACTTTTCACCCTTAACTCTAACCTCAAGATTTTTCAGCCAGGCACAGCAGTGCATGTTGAAAATCCCAGTGGTTTGGGAGGCTGAGGCAGGAGGATCACGAGTTCAAAGCCAGCCTCAGCAACTTAGCAAGGCCCCAAGCAACTAAGCAAGACCCTGACTCAAAAAATAAAAAGGGCTAGGGATGTCACTCAGTGGTTAAATGCTCCTGGATTCAATCCCTGGTACAAAAAAAAAAAGAATTTTCAAACTTCAGAAAGGTTGATTGAATAGAACAATAAGCACCCATGTATCCTTCACCTAGATTCACTAGTTTTTCATGTTTTGCTGCGTCTGCTTCTCTGTGACTTCTTCACTCTTACATAGGTATACTTTTCGTTGTTTCTCTGGAATGAGGCAGGGCTGATATTTAAGGGATGGGAACCAGACTCACCTAATCTAGCTTGCAGAGCTGACTTCTGTGTCTTTTTGACATGTGTCTGTCATTCCTTGTACATTTCCTGCCTGTCTGGCACATGGTGTTTCAAGTTCAACTTGTAGCTTTGCCTCCCTGGACCTGGAATGAATTATTTGTGCATCATCACCAATTCTAGTTAATGGTGTTTAGAAACCAAAAATATCTAACAATGAGATGTGCTCATTGCCCAAGTGGCCACTGCTTTTAGACCTTCTAAGCAGACATAGCCAGGTCTTCATTTCTTTTTTTAATGACTACATACATACTAATCCATTGTGTAGACAGATAAAACACTTTATTTAATTAATTCTCTGGATAAACTTGTATGTTTGTCATTTTGCAAATGTGAGCTTTATTTCTGAAAATTGATTCCTAGAAGAGGAATTGCCAAGTCAGAATTTCTTTGCAACCATAATTTTGATATTTCTATATACCTTTCATGGTAATTGTTCCCATTTGCACTCCTTACCAGCATTTCTGAAAACCTTCCCCTTGGGAGCCCCAAATCTATAGATCTCATTTGTCTCTCCTTCCCTTGCTTACTTATCAACTTCATATCTTGATTATCAAGATATTATCACAACTTGATTATCTTAATAGTCTTCTAATACCTGTTTGTTTTTCCTTACTCCCATTTCTGTGATTGCTATGCTGGCTTAAATGCTTAAAAATTATTTGTGTGAAAAAATTTTCCCCATATATCCTAGGGTTTTGGAGTTACTCCTTAACCCAGGGACTTGTTATGGTTGCCTCAGGCTTGCTTACTTGCTAGTTAGATGTCTAGGTTCCAAGAAGGACATAGAAGCATTAAGACACTGTTGGATCCATCACAGTATTCTCAAGTATAACTTAAACTAAAGCAGAAGCAGTATAGTAATATTTCCCCTCCCGAGACCACCCTGACAAATCCCAACACTGTTCACCATTCTACAAGTGCTGTGTTACTTAGGCTTATGTAATGAGTTTTCTGGCCTCATTTCTGAATGACCAGTGACTAGGACCCATAGAAAATAGTTACTTATAAAAAAGTGACATATGGGCTGGATTTGTGGCTCAGTGGTAGAGTGCTCACCTCGCATGTGCGGGATCCTAGGTTCGATCCTCAGCACCACATAAAAATAAATAAATAAAAATAGAGGTATTGGGCTGGGGCTGTAGCTCAGTTGGTAGAGTGCTTGCTTTGCATGTACAAGGCCCTGGGTTCAATCCCTAGCACCAATAAATAAATAAATAAAGGTATTATGTCCAATCGCAACTGAAAAATAATATTTTTAAAAAATGACTTCCCCCCCCAAAAAAAACAGAGTCTCCAAAAAGCCTAGGGAAATGAAGGGAAAGAAAAGCAAAAAGATCTCTCTGAAATATACAGCAGCCAGACTTCATGAAAAAGGAGTTCTTCTGGAGATTGAGGACCTACAAGTGAATCAGTGAGTATTTATCTTTTTTCCCCCCTTTTACTTTGTTGGTTTTTAAATTTTTGCATTCATCACTTCTTCTTGCCTTTATTTCTCTTTCCTGGTGGCTGCTTTGTATTTTTTATGTATTAATACACATATACATATACAAATAAATATACATATAAAGAAATATATACACCTAATTTTTTTATGTGCAAAGGATTTGGCCTCATACAAAATTAATTTGTCATAAAAGAAAATGTATTTCTCTTCTTTGTGGAACATTTGTCTCAGAGCACAATCACACTTGTTTCTGTGTGTGCCTCATCTTAATTTTTCCTTTTTAAAGCAGGAATCCATTTCTTCTGTGTAGACCAAAAATAAGATAACAATAATAAGAAGCATTTACTTGTTGACACCAGCCTGTTATTCCAGTTGCGCAGGAGGCTGAGGCAGGAGGATCTCAAGTTTAAGGTCAATCTCAGCATCTTAGTAACTTAAGTGAGACCCTGTTTCAAAATTAAAAGGATTGGGGATGTAGAACAGTGGTAGAATGTTTGCCTAGCATGAATGAAGCCCTGGATTCAGTCCCCAGTGGCAGAGTACTTGTCTAGCGTGTATGAGGCACTGGGTTCAATCATTAGCTGCATAAAAATAAATAAATAAAATAAAAGGTGTGCTGTCCATATACAACTACAAAAAAAAATTGAAACTTTTATATTTTTTTTAATTCTAAAATATATATTCAGGGGGCCGGGGTTGTGGCTCAGTGGTAGAGCGCTTGCCCAGCATGTACGAGGCACTGGGTTCGATCCTCAGCACCACATAAATGTAAAATAAAGATATTGTGTCCACCTGAAACTAAAAAAATAAATAAATATAAATATATATACACACACATATATATGTATGTGTTATTCATTATTGAACTTTGAAAATATGATAAAGCAAAAAGGAAAAGAAAAAGCATTTTTATTCCCATAAGTGAGAGAGAACCACTGAAAATCATTTTAGTATATTTTCTTCTGTTCCCCTGTTCACATGAAGAATATCTATTTTGCCCCACTTAATCTACCTACACACACACACACACACATATATATATGTATGTTGTAGATGGACACATTCTCTGTTTTATTTTTATGTGGTACTGAGGAATGAACCCAGTGCTTCACTCATACTAGGTGAGCCACATTCCCCTACTTATTTTCTTAATGTAAATTAGTATGATATTGTTTATTATCAAGTAATCTTTTTTTATTTTTGTTTTGTTTTTAGAGAGAGAGAGAATTTTTTAATATTTATTTAGTTTTTTTTAGTTTTTGGCGGACACAACATCTTTCTTTGTATGTGGTGCTGAAATCGAACCCGGGCCGCACGCATGCCAGGCGAGCGCGCTACCGTTTGAACCACATCCCCAGCCCCAAGAGAGAGAATTTTTTAATATTTATTTTTTAGTTTTCGGTGGACACAACATTTTGTTTGTATGTGGTGCTGAGGATCGAACCCGGGCCGCACGCATGCCAGTAATTTAGCCTATTGTAAACTGCTTAAATTGGTTATATTGGGTGGGGGGAGTAGGAGACAAGGTCTTGCTATGCTGCCCAGGCTGGTCTTAGGTTCCAGGACTCAAGCAGTCCTCCCCTCTAACTGGGACTAGAGGCCCATGCCACCACTCTAGTATTTGTTTTAAATAGTAGATGTCTAGAAATGGAATTTCTGGTTAAATAAGTTTAAAAAATTATTTTATTATAAAAAATGCTATCAACCATTTTTAAGGGTACAGTTTATCTGTGTTCAATGTATTCACATTGTTGTGCAACAGACCTCTGAAGTTTTTCATCTTGCAAAATTCTACCCATTAAATGGCATCTCCCTGTTTCCCCCTCCTGCCAGTCTCTGGCAACCACCGTTTTAGTTTCTGTTGTGTGAATTTGACCATGTTACCTCATAAATGAAATCAGACACTATTTATCTTCATTTCTGGCTTATTTCACATACCATAATGTCTCAAGGTTCATCCATGTGACAGGATTTCCTTCCTTTTTAAGGCTGACTAATATTCTATTGTATGTATTACCACATTTTGTTTATCCATTCATCTGTTGATGGATGCATGTGTCGTTTCCACCTCTTGGCTAGTGTGAATAGTGTTGGAACAAATGTGGATATGAGATCCTGCTTTTAATTCTTTGGATATGTACCCTAAAATGAGATTGCTATATCAGATGGCAGTTCTAGTTTAAATTTTTTGAGGAGCTGTCATACCGTTTTCCAGTTATATTCTTATCAAGGTGGGAGAAGGAGATAAAAAGAAGACCCCTTTGGGGGAAAATTGTCTCTGTTCAGCTGAGCTTGGGAAAGAGCCGAAAGAAGCCAAGTGTTTCAGTGTGTCTAATTTAGCCTGTGTACTCTGATTTCATTTATGAGGTTGAAGGAAAAATATAAACTCTTAACACATGTTGCCAAAATATTTCCCATTAGTGTCTGAAGTATATATGAGTACCTCTCTCACTATTTCCTTGCCACCACTGAATAATGAATAAGATAATTTTTTATGTTTTTTTAATTTTAATAGTTAAAAATATCTCCTTAAAATTGTGGGTATTTAGACTGAGTAATACAATAATAGCAGTTTTACTTTGGTCATTCTCAGTGCATTTAAATATATAGCACCTACCCTTTCCAGAAAACCTCCTCTTCCTCTTGTTCCTATTACTAACTCCCTTTGCTTTACTTACTCAATTCTCCCAATCCTCAAATGTGCATGCATCCTGCACCCAAACACAGATGCTTTCCCTCCAGCCACTTTCCTCCTGGTTCTCCGTTTATAACCAAGTTTCAGCAGTGGCCATATGGAAGACCAGGAATTCTCTGATGTCACCCTTTCACAGGTCTCTTGTGGTATTCCCCAGTGGCTCCTCTTTGAGTAGAATGCAAATGCTGTGGAGAGAGGTCACCATTCTTCCCTCCAGGTCCCAAAACAAAGGGTACCGAGCAATGGCAGTCCATGCTCCTTCACCTGCAGCAGGACTTTGAACCTGTACTTCTGCCCCTTTTCACCCATGAAGACTGAATTCATCCCTTTTCCCAGTTCGCAGAATATTGTTCTATGAGAACATAAAAAGCGCACCCATATGTTATGTTTCAACAGGTTTAAAAATGTTATCTTTGAAATCAATCCAACAGAAGAAGTTGGAGACTTTGAAGTGAAAGCCAAATTCATGGGAGTTCAAATGGAGACATTTATGCTACACTATCAGGTGGGTATGCACAGGTAGAACCAAAAGCTTCTCTGTGAGGTAAGTTATATTCTTATCAAGGTGGGAGAAGGAGATAAAAAGAAGACCCCTTTGGAGGAAAACTGTCTATGTTCAGTTGAGCTTGGGAAAGAGCCAAAAGAAGCCAAGTATCTCAATGTGTCTGATTTGGCCTGTGTACTCTGCAGAGCTTTCCAAGATGTGTAAATCTTCAGGAAGTGTTTAAAGGAATCTTCCATCTAAGTGTCGCCAATAAATTGAGCTGATACCTTGGACTTGAATGAAAGGCTTAGGTGTAAGGGTTGATGGTATAGTTTGAATTTTTTTTCTTCTTTGATTTGATATTAGTACTTAAAGTTTAGTTTTTGTCTTTTTTTTTTTTTTTTTTGTTACTGGGGATTGAACCCAGGGTTCTTTACCACTGAACTACATCCCCAGTCCTTTTTATTTTTGATTTTGAGACAGGGTCTCACTAAGTTGTTGAGGCTGAACTGGAACTTGTGATCCTCCTGGCTCAGCCTCTGAGTCCCTGGGATTACTGGCGTGCACCACTGTACCCTGCTAGGTAGGGTTAGATGTTTTCTGATGAGGTGTGTGTAAATTGTGTCTTTGTAAATTGAGTCCCATTTTAAATTCAAAAAGAACTCAGCAGGGATTCCCTGATTTTTTACTTTAAAAATCTAATATTTTCACATTTAAAAAATATTAGGGGGCCTGGGGATATGGCTCAAGTGGTAGCATGCTCGCCTAGCATGTGTGAGGCACTGGGTTTGATTCTCGGTACCATATAAAAATAAAGATATTAAAAAATATATTAGGGCATTTGAGAGGATTTCTAGCAATGTGTAACACTTTATAAATTTTGTTTTGTTTTCCTTCTGTGCTGAAGATCAAACCCAGAGCCTCATGCATACTGGTCAGGCTCTTTGCCACCAAGCTGCACCCCAGGCTCTATAGGCTGTTACTGTCCCATTTCTCATAGTGCTACACTCTGTCAACTGGGCGGGTGCCTTGCTGTAAACATGCACATGAACATGTTGCTCCCTTTACTTGGGCGCCCTTCCTCCCCTTCCCATCCCTTTTATTCCTCCATCTAATAATGAATACTTGTCCCCAGCCATACTGCAATAGTTGGTCACCCCTTTGCCTTAGTAGCCCTGAGAGACATCCTTTGTTTATAGTACATGTTGACGCATTTCCCTCCCAACCCCCAAAACTGTGCCACTCCTTAAGAACAGGTAGTATATCTTAGTCATCTTTGTTTCTTTCTCAGAAGCCAGTAGCCTCTCAAAGTATATTGGCCAAACAAATGTGAAATGATTTTGTAATACAAATAGCTAACTGTTTCCACACAAAAAGGATCCACTTTTTCCCTCATTTTCACCAAATGCATATAGGCCTACCAGTCTGCCTAAGGTAGTTTATTCATTCCTGCTCAAGTTCCAGACTTGATGTGGGGTGCCAGGTGTTATGTTAGGCATAGGCGACACAATGGTCCCCACTCTCTGGAACTGCTAAGATTTATCCAAAAGATGAATTTTGAACTTTTGGGTTCCTTTGAGCCCTTTGACCCTTGCTTTTGCATTTCCACTCCTCTACAGTGTACAGGTGGGAGGACTACACCAATAGTAGTGAAAGCAGCAGCTTTGAAATCAGGTCTGGAGTCAACATGACCAATTCTGTTCTGCTGAGCACATCATTCAGCATCTCTGAGCCTTAGGAGATCATCTTCAAACCTGGTGTGATCTCATTTCATAGGTTTTTTGTGAGGACTTAAAAACATACTATATAATGTCCCTAAACAATGCCAGCACAGAGTAGGCTCCTTAATAAATGTTTTATCTCTTGCCTTCAAGACAGAAAAAATTTCTCACATGAAACGGAAATTAATTAAGAATCTAATGGGCAGGGGGCATAGCTCAGTGGTAGAGCACACGTTAGCATGCAAGAGACCTTGGGTTCAATCCCTAGTTAAAAAAAAAAAAAAAGAATCTGATAGATTTTATGAAGCCATTACTAGCCTTGTCTCACCTTTTTTTTTTTTTTTTTTTTTTTTGGTCCTGGGGATCAAACCCAGGGCCTGTGCATGCAAGGCAAGCACTCTACCAACTGAGCTATATCCTCAGCCCCTCTTTCTTCTTTTAAAATATTTTTTTAGTTATAGATGGACACAATACCTTTACTTACTTATTTATTTATTTTTATGTTGTGCTGAGGATTGAACCCAGTGTTTCCAATCCGCTAGGCAAGCGCTCTACCACTGAACTATAGCCCCAGCCCCTCTTGCCTCACTTTCAATGATTAGTATATTTCATCATGTCTTGCAATGCTTCTACCTTTTCTAGATTTATTAAACCTGGTGACCCACAATGAAATGAAGTGGGAAAATGTCATTTTAACTTCTGAAATAAAAAGAGTTTTGCAATGCTGGGAATGGAAGCCAGGGTCCTACACATGGTAGGCAAGTGCTGTACCACTGAGCCACATCCCTAGCCCCCTGAAATAAAAAGGGCTTAAAAGCATATGCGTGATAACTGAACATACTTTTTCTTTTCATGTTTGGTGTGTTTTAAATATAAACAGAATGTCTCCCTATTGCCAGATTAACCAGAAGGTCCCTTGGCCAACTTGTCTATATGTTCCTGCTCCCAGGGTAGCTGTGCAGGGGACAGATAGTTCTGTATCTAGAAACTTCTATATCACCCCGCTTTGCATCTGGCACACGAGGCATGCTTTATTCCTTCTGGATCCCTCACTACATTGTGTCCTTTCTTGTTCCACAGATTTGATTGACTGTCAAAATGGTTGTGTTGTTTTGTTTTTAGGACCTGCTGCAGCTACAGTATGAAGGAGTTGCCGTCATGAAATTATTTGATAGAGCTAAAGTAAATGTCAACCTCCTGATCTTCCTTCTCAACAAAAAGTTCTACGGGAAGTAATTGATCATTTGCTGCCAGCCCAGAAGGGTGAAGGAAAGAAACACCTCACTGCTTCTTTCTAGGATCCTTCTTTACTCGTTGGAAGCAGAGGCTCACCCCACAATGATGCCCACTTCAGTACTCTCCCAATGCCCCATTTTATCTTCTTTCACTCTAAGAGACATTTGTTGCCCATTTTTTCATAGAGAAATTGTATTTCAGACTTAGTATGACCCTTCTGCTTCCTTTGTTTTCTTTCATCATTTAGGAAAGAGTGGAAACTCCACCAAAATCCCTTGCTGTTGTTATAGCCTTTGAAGTGGTATTACTATTTTGTAAGCTTTGGTGTTTGTTTTACTTAGTAATAAGGATAGTGGAGTTCAAATTATTGTTATTTAGAAGTGGAAGTTATTAGCATCAATAACAAGTACATATACACAAAATGTCAGGTTATCAACAGTTATTAGGTTGTCATTTAAAAGTGAAGCTCTCTCCTGGGCATGGCGGTGCACGTCTGTAATCCCAGCAACTTGGGAGGCTAAGGCAGGAGGATCACAAGTTGGAGGACAGCCTCAGCAACTCAGTGAAACCCTGTCTGTAAATAATATACAAAATAGGGCTGGGGATGTGGCTCAGTGGTAAAGTGCCCCTGGGTTCAATCCCCAGTAGTACCAAAAAAAAAGAAAAGTAAGGCTCCTTTATATTTCTGTCCCACCAGTAAAATCAAAGGATATAGAGGATCATTGATTCTCTTCCATTCTTTTTTTCTTTGTAGGCAGGAGCTAATACAAATCACTGTTCTCTGTTCAAATAAAACAGGTTTAGAAAAAAAATTGTGTTTAAACTTCACTATCAAATTTGGGCAATGTTGTTAGTACATCCCCTTCTCCATTGGATGAGAGAGTCCCACTGATAATGTTCAGCTGTCTAAGTAGACACAGAGTGGGCTGAGTGCCCACCTGTGTACACCCATGTGCAGAGATTAACTAATTCAAAGTCTTCTCCATCCGAAAGGAATGGGTTAGCCTTAGGGTAGAAGGTAATTATTTTTTAAACTGTTTTGTCTTCAGAGTGCCTTATTAAAGCATACATTTATTTCTTAAAATGTGAGTGATAGGAATTTTAAAGATTTATATAATGCTTCAAAAGTCTTTGGAATACTCTTGAGAAAAGGTTTTTTAAAATCGTTTTATCTGTATATCTGAACTCTTGAAACTTTCTTATAGCTAAAACACTAGGTTTTATCTGCAGTATTGCAGAGAGATAATCCTGCCTTAAATAGCCAAAATAAAAATCAGCAAACCTATATTATACTTGAGATTAAAATAAAATTTTCTTCCCATTTCTTTCTCTTCTCTTGCTGTTGACAATTGTGCCTTTATTTTATGAACCCCAATTTTCTAGGCTTAGTTAAAACCAATTCAATTCCAAACATTGAGTTTAGGAAGCTTTTGGTTCTTGGATAAAAAGTCATAAGTGCTACACGCCCCCCCACCTTAATCTGTTTATCCTGAAAAAATATTGAAATCATGCTACTGAGCCTCCCATTTTTTTCTGAAGTTTTGGTTCAGTATTTTTTTTAATCATAAAACATATTATGAACTAACATTTAAAATTTTACTTATGTATATTTAAGGCCAATAAACTGTTTTGATGAATAGAAAGTTATGTGGTGTGTCCCTATGACAAATGTTAAGTCTTGGATAAGTGTTTTGCATGACAGGCTGTCTGTGCAGCCTGGGTACAGCCCACAGGGATCTGCCACTTGCCCTGTCCTTGTTTTTGGAAGACAATTTTTTTAGCAAATGTTTTCCTCAGATGAAAAGAAGATGCTCTTACAACCAACATCACCTCAAAAACTGGAACTAAAAAAGCGTGTCAACCCTGTTTCCTTAAAAGAGGATACCCATCCCAAATACGTCCCAAAACCTGCTTCCAAGACAGGAATGAACAAAGTTTACATCTCCTTTAATAAAATAGGATAACTCAATTATTTTAAATATTTTGTTCCCAAAATAACAATTTCTAATGCAAAGTAACCCAAATGCACTTCAGGAGTTTTGGTGCCAGATGTGTAGAATTACTGTTTTAATAGCACAGGTATCACTCCAACAAGCTCTGAAGTCGCAACACTGACACCATGTAGCATTTTTATTTTTTTAGCGGTAGCATTCCCTGTCTCATCTCACTTTTTCTTTGACCTTCTCTTTGACCAACCATCATGACATTTACCATGAATTTACTTCCTCCCAAGAATTTGAACTGCCCATCAGATTGTTACTACACACAATTGCCTTTATATCTCTGTATGAAATAAAAGGTCATTTGTTCCTGTTTATGTTTATTTTTCTCAGTTTCATTGTTAGCAGTTCCTGCTAAACAGTGTTGACTAGGGTGAGATTTAATAATTAAAAACCACAACAAAAGCAACTCCTCTACATCCTTAGCCTTTTTTTTTTTTTTTAAGTTGCTGAAGCTGGTCTTGAACTTTTGATTTATCTGCCTCAGCCTCCCCAGTAGCTGGGATTATAGATTGAGCACTAGATTTCAAAGTAAAGTTTACCAGGATCCAGGGCTTCACACATGCTAGGCAAGCACTCTACCACTGAGCTAAATCCCCAGCCCTCCATTTTATTTTTTATTTTGAGTTAGGGTCTTGCAAAGTTGCCCAAATTGGCCTTGAATTTGGATTCACCTGCCTTTACTTCCCAGTGGCTAGGATTTTCAAGCATGTATACCACAATGCCCAGCTCCTTAAGTGATTTTTAATGTGCAAATTTAGCCTTTTAAATTTTATTACACTTAAAGTAGTCTTAAAAGGAATGTGGGGATGGGCTGGGGTTGTGGCTCAGTGGTAGAGCTTATCTTTATGTGTGAGGCATCACATAAATAAATAAAGGTATGGTGCTCATCTACAACTAAAAAAAAAAGTCAAAAAATGTGGGGGGCAGACTAATGCCACTTAAATTCTGATTGGCTAATTAATGACCAAAGGTTTAAATTGCAGCAAGTTTTCACCTTTTTGCAGGTACTAGGGATTGAATCCAGAGGTGCTATACCAGTGAGCTATATCCCCTACCGCCACCATCTTTTTAAATTTTTTTCTTTGAGACAGGTTCTTGCTAAGTTGCCCAAGCTGGCCTTGGAATTTGAAATCCTGCCTCAGTCACCTGAGTACCTGGGATTACAGGCATGTGCCGTCATGCCCACCTTACATTATTCTACGGGCAGCAGTACACCAGGTGTTGAGCATGCAGTCATGATGCGCTTCTCCAGGTGGGGGCTTCTGCTAAGTTAAGTGCAAGTCACCAGAGAAGACTGGGGGCTGTTGGGGACAAAAAGTAAACAGCAATAATAAAAAGGAAAAAATGGCCTCGTTAAAAGGCAACCTTACCTAAAAATGCATGTATGTAAGCATCCTGTTGTCTTTGAACACCAGCCAAACTGTTGGAAAATTAGTATGAAATTAGAGGGAAACTGAATCACACTGTAAGTAGGCCTATGTGAAGAGTTGGGAGGTGATGGTTTGTGTGAGTGGCTGGCAATGACTCCCGACAGCTCTGAGAAAGAGCCTGTCTTTCCCTGCTGGGGGACCTTTAGGAATTTATCCCTATCTTTGGTTTTCTTTTTCTGGAACTGAGATAGTGTTGCATGGTATGTTTGTTATTGAAAATTCAGGTAGGTTTTAAGGACTTGTGCTCTACATTTTCCTTCAAGGGAGTGAGGTGTTTATCCAGGGCTAACATTCAATAAGGAAAACAAGACAGGGAAGATCAAAATAGGAAGGTTGCATGGAACCTGGGAGTGACACTGGTAAAGGAAGTGAAGATCAGAATCTTTGGGCTGCCCAGAGCCATCACAGCAGTGCTGGTTGCACAATTGTTGCCCATTTAGCTCTGAAAAGAATTTGGGAAAACTTACATGTTCTCTATACATTTTAAGTGTGACAACTTAAAAAAAAAATTATGAGTGTATCATTGCAAACATATTGTGAATTCTGAGATAAAAATTACTTGGAAGTAAGAAATGGAACCCACCATCATTCATTTTTAAAGGTACATAAACAAAGCTCTTGGCTAATTAGAAATTTTGTATCTTTTTAAATTCATGTTTCTATTCCACTTCCCTCACACTTTTATACTAGTTTTGTTTGGGTACTAGAGATGGAACTCAAGTCCTTGAGCATGCTAGGCAAGCACTTGACCACTGAACTACATTCCCAGCCCCCTAATGTAATATTTCAAAACCATTTTTTATCATCTTGTCATAATTGCTAAAAACTTATTTTGTGATCATAATATTTTGCATCATTACAATTATTGTTAGTACATGTTTGATCATAGTAACAGTGTATTGTCTTAACAAAGGATTCTAAAAAGTATTTGGAATTCATTTCTTGAGATAAATGGTTTTTTCAAAGTGAAATGTTGTTTTAAAAAAGTAATCCCAGTAACTTGGGGGTCTGAGGCACGAGGATCCCAAGTTCCGAGGCCAGCCTCAGCAACTTGGCAAGAAAAAAATAGTTGTTAAAAAGGACTAGAGGGCTGGAGTTGTGGCTCAGCAGTAGAACACTCGCTTAGCACCGTGCGAGGCTCTGGGTTCGATCCTCGACACCATATAAAAATAAATAAAATAAAGGTATTGTATCCAACTACAACTAAAAAAAATTTTTTTTAAAAAGTCTGTAGTTGTTGTGCAGTGTACAGCACTTAACCTAGCATGTCTGAGGGCCCTGGGTTCAATTCCCAGTACTGCAAAAAAAAAAAAGAAATTTATGAATAAATATATTCTTACTAGAATGAGAAAGTTTATGACCAATTTTTCATGTTTATAAATATAAGCCCTGAAAAACATTGAGGTGTTGGTGTTTTATTATAGCAGTGTTACTTATTTCTTAAGACTCCTTGGGCGGGGGGGACCCTTAATGACTTATAACAAAAAAAGTACAGCCTGATTAGAATCCCCAATTTTGTTGATAGCAAAAATGAAGGTTTAGGTTGTAGTTCTGTGGCACAATGCTTGCCTAGCACAAGTGGGGCCTTGGGTTTTATCCCCAGCACCACAAAAGAAAAAAGAAAATTATCAGAATTGGAAAAGGAATTATTATTCAGTCATTATTCCTTTCTTGGACTTGAGCAGTAGACAAGGGTCTTGACCAAGACTTTTAAAAGATTTTTTTTTTGGAGGGGGGCGGTGCCAGGGACTTTACCACTGAACTACATCCCCAGTACTTTTCATTTTTATTTTTTTAATTTTGAGACCATCTTGCTAGTTGCTGAAGCTACCCTTGAACTTGAGTTCCTCCTGCCCCATCCTTCAGAACTG